CAAATCAAGACTAAGCAAATGAGTTTTGAATGTATGAGAAGAACTAGCATTATTTCAAAGCCATCTGGGAAAGTCCTTGAGAAACCTATACCTTATGACAGTAAAGTAGAGTGGAAAGATTACCACGCATAATTAGAGACTGTAGCCAAAATTAATGTCTGGTACAGTCTCCAGAGAGCTACTATAACATTCGCAGTTTTGCAGACAGGCCAATACCAAATGAAGACGCACTGTGCATAGCAGTGCATCTGTTTTTCTTTATTCTGAATTGGAGCACCTGACAAGACTCAATGAAAAAAAGGAAAACTTCTAGTTTAAGCAAGATATCCCATGCAACCAGCACTTCCACTTCAAGCATTTCCATATTTTACAACAACGAAGACCAAAACTTTTGGTTCATAGTGAGCACATAGTGGTACAGTATATTACATAAGACAATTGTAACACTAAACACTCAAACCATTTGGTTAGGAATAGCAGTGCTTTTCTTCCGTTTTGCACATAGAACACTGCTTATGTTGCTTTCAACGGGGTCATTTATTTTTACAAATACAACAATATATGATATATACAAAATAATAAATATATAAAAAATAACACAATTAGACACAATTCCAGTTCCTGCATGTGCTCTTCTCCATGTAGAAATTAAATTTGAATACTGTTTTTCTGAACAAAATGTTACTGTTGCAGTAATAGTAATTACTATTTTTAATTGTAATTATAGGTATACTATTATTAGATCAAACAGCAATGTAGCTGTCATAACATGGTACTGACCGCACAAGTGAATACAGTCTTACTTCTTAACTATATCTTAGAAATAATTCAGAAGTAAACAATATCGAAATCAGTGTTTACTGCCTTACAAAAAGATACCTACTAACTCCTGCTTTGTGAAACTCTTTCTGCAAAAGGTAGGAAATGGTAGATCTAACCTGACACACAGATTGTAAAGTCTGTATTCTGGCCTGCAGCAGCTTCTCCAGATCATTAGTTAATAGCAAACTTACAAGGAGATAAAAGGCACAGATGGAATTATGTTGGTGTAAGAGATTTAGCTGCAGCTCATGTCTTTAAAGACAGTGTATCTGAAAGCTGTAGCCCCTGACAGCCTGCTCAGAGGAAGCAAATGCCAGAGCAAATTGAATCTGACCCGATTTTTATGAATAATTGCCATGTGGAAAAAAAAACAGTATTTGGACTCCCAATTGCACCTTACAATGGTGGTCTGTTAGACCATCAAAACACACTTGATTCGATCTGATTTGAAGTGCCTTAAAAACACCAACGACCAATGATGCTCAAGTGGGAGGACACAAGGGTTCTTGCAATTCTGTGCTTCTGCGTTCAACATGACTCTGAGGGAGGAAACTCATTTTATAAGCAGCACAACACAAAGACCTCCTCTACTGGTAAATCTGTAAAGTTCAGACAAGAGCCACAGCAGGCTGAGCAAATTCTGGCAGCGTTAAGCAGACTAGAGAGCATACGGCTAACTCCTACACTGGATAGGATGCTGGTCTATCACAGGGATCACACCCCAAGCAATGTTGGTCCCCTTTTATTCAAGCTGGGCAGACTGAAGCGGCTGTACCTCTCTCAGGGTACAACAGTACGAATGGTAGATGATGTGATGAACACAGCATCTGCATTACAATGATTTCCCATAAATGAGGTACTGTATGTTCACTGCTGCACTGAAGAATACACACACAAAAATACAGAAGTCCAAAAGGACCTTGACAGCAATTACATTAGATGACATTAGTGTGCCTGGAGCTATTTACAGGTGTTTAACTTTTAACAGCACAACAAAACAAGTATACAGTGTATAAAAATATATTGTGAGGTAATGAGAGATGGCATAGTGGCACCGGGGTTATCATTGCTGCCTCACAGCACTGAGTTCAATTCCAGACCTGGGGTGCTGTCTGTGTGGAGTTTGTATGTTCTCCTCATGTTAACGTGTTTCACCATGTTTTTTCCCCACAGTCCAAAGACATACAGGCAGATTAACAGGTTGGCTTTTGTGTCCTTGGTTGGCCATGTTCGGCTTTTGCTATCCAATTCAGGGTCGCAGGGGAAAATGGATGGATAGTTCAATAACAAGAACATGCTTTTTATTGCAAACATAGCTAAATAGCAAAATAAAAAAAAACCCTGGTGTAACCAACAAGACTCACCAGAGAAGGAAGTTGACTAAGCAGCCAAGAGGGTTGATAAGGCTTTAACACTGCCAGCTCCACACACAGACAGTGGGAGGTACTGAATTTAGAGGGAGTGTGTTTGAACTATGGAGCACTCATTGTGGTTTCCTTCACAACGACAAAGGTATGTATTTGTGGAGTACAAGATTTAAATATGTCAAAACCAAATGGGAGAACTATTAATGTTTAATTCAAAACTATTACAATATTTTAAACACTTTTGGTGCATTTCAGGGTATTCCATCTGCAGTTAACATGACCTAACTTTTTGGATGTCAGATGGCATGCGCAAATTCAGAGGGCTATGTGTCAGACTGTACTTTAAAACAAAACGTATTTGGTTATTGCAGGTCAGTGCTGCAGAGTGTTGAACAGACATCCTGGACAAAGATGGTGGTTGGATTTCTGGCACAGAGAGCCATCTTGCCTGACATTGAGCACTGAAGAAAGAGAGAATGCAATTCCCCGGTAGGTTTGCACCACAAGCACTTTTACAATGGCAGGGCTTACAGGAGAAGACCAGGATTCTGAAAACTCAAGGGTCCCACTAACACTGCTTCTGGCAAGCAACCTTAGCTTTCCCAGCAGGTAACCAGCTTAGCTTCAGTGGGTTCCCAGATATGAGTTGCAGGGAGATGTAGCTCTAAACAGCTGCATGTGATAAATATAGAGATACGTGATACTGACAATACCAGGTTGTTAATTGTTTTGCATAGGTGGTGCTATATTCTGAGCATGGAAGAAAATGCATATTCCAGGGCATTTAAAACTTGAGGGAGTTGAAAAACAAGAGGAGGCCATGCCTCTCATCGAGATTACTTAGTTTATAGTAGTTACACGATTCTTTTTCAAATATTTGTATTTGTTTTTCCTAGCCTTATGCAACAACCAGACTCTAAATCCCTTTGAATTTACTGTGCAGTCTCTATAGTGTCCAGTTCTTCTTTTTTGGTATAATCTCCAAACCTGAGTAGCTATACCAGAATTCAGATCATTTATATAAAATCAAGAGCAGTGGTTCTAGTACAGATCCCTGTTAAACTCCACATTTAGTATGCGGTGCAATAGAGACAAATACCAGCTGCACAATATTGGAGTCTGGAGCATATGACCATGATGAATATTGTTTGTGTATGAGATAAAATGCTGCAACATGTTAAACCTCATGACTACAACTACAGCATGGTTTTGCCAGGACTTTCCACACCTAATTGGTTTAAAACCAAGTGCAACATAAAAGCCCCAAGAATATGTACCTGCTATTCATTTGTCCTTGGCACCTGAACATGGGTAGTAACTAACCAAATCAATACTAAAATAATGAGTTGACAAGATGATATTACAGCATAGAGTAGCATCAAAGTTCAACCCAGAAAGAAAGGAGTGGGTGTGTTCTAAGTTGGAGACATACAGTAATGGCAAGGACTATACAGTTTTAAAAACAAACATATGGTGCACAGAATCCAACAGTGACTTTGAAAGTTGCATAGGAAAAGCCAGTTCTTTGTATTTAGTGTATTAAATTAATTAAAACAATATTTTTTCTGCTGTAATCACTTCTTATTAAAGGAACACTCTATACCAGATGTGCTCAATTATTCAGACAGAAACAGAAGTTTCACGTGTGTTTGTGATCCCAATCTTGTTGGAACAGAAACATTCGGACTTTGAAATGACTAGCTGACCTCCTCATATTGCCAAGTGCTGTATCCATTTATGTTGCCTGCTGTTTGCATAAGCTCTCCAACACTTGAAGCTGCTGTGCACAGTTTCTACTGCTGCTACCTCCGTGTTTCGTGACAAACTGCAGCCAGTTCTGGGGACCATATGGCTACTTGTGTAACACACATACTGTACCTGACACTGGCAAGTTTTTCCTTCTGTATGCCACCTTGCATTAAAAGTGATTAAAATAAATTTATGAACAAAAAGCATAATGGGAAAACAAGCTTTGCCTGAACATCTGCTTAAGGGAGGTTCAACACATCCCAAACACTTACTCAAATGTCCTTCAACTTGGAGTTGGCCTAGTGGAAATCCTTATTGAAATTTAAAGTATTAAAAATCACTTCTCTCTCTCTGGAGTTCAAAGGCTTACTTTCAGCAAAATTAAAACTTGTATCACTTACATCAAGGGAAGAACACGTTTATCTTTCTTCACTCCATTATAAACTACATAGTCCTACTAAAACAATGCTGTGAACCGTTTTAGCTAAAATATTTCTTAATCCTTTTAGAAATCCAGGTGGAAACTAAGGTGCCTACATCTTTGCAGTCTAATTCTAGGAGTTTTAGATCCCACATTAAACCTGAAGAGCCCTATTTTGTACAGGTATATACGAAAGCAACCTCTGAAAATTGAAACCGCACTACAAAACAAAGTAAAAACGCTGAATTATGTCAAGTGGTAGCTGTGTTCTTTCAAGCAACACAATGTCCATGTTCCTCTCAAAAGCATTTGCCGGGTCCCATAGAGTTAATAAACGCTCACAGCACAAGGCATTCAACCACTAAATACTCCCAGAATCTGCACCGCAAGTGTTAACAATGATACGCCTGGGGGTCAGTTTCTTTAACCCTCACCCTTCACCTCAATGCTTCATGTTTTGCCTGACATTTGCCATCCTGTCTTGTAAGAAAGGGGAAATGCAAATTAAAAAAAAAAACAGGAGAACAAAAGCATCCAGCCGCTAGCTCCCCATTAAATAAGGGACTGTGTTTAACTCCCGCCCCCCACCCACCCTCCAACAACCCCCTCCTCTGAGGGTCTCCTCCCAGTGAGGCACTTACTCGAGGAAGCTGGTGATGTAGTCCTTGCTGCAGGCTGACCAGGAGAAGGGGTTGGTGTTTGCTGTAATGTGAGCCGCCATGAGCTTTGCCGCCTCGTGACCCTTGGTCCCACAGGAGTTTCCGATTCCATCATGATTCATGCCGAAGCTGTTGGGGAAGGCAAAGGACCGCATTACCCTCATTGTCACACCACTACAAAATGATGACCCGTCAAGCCCATAAGAGGGGGGTACTGCGCTTGAACAGCTAAGGGACAATTACAGCAACAATACCCCCACTGAGCTGAAAGAAGAAACAGTAACGAGCTTAGATACGTGGAAGCAGTCAGCGACCTGCCACAAAGCCCCAAGAGAAAAGTGTATCATTAGGGCTTGTTTTCTTTTTCTCTCTTTAACCCTTGGTCACTTGTGGGCTCGATGAGAAAAGGGGACGCTTGCACAGAACAGCTGTTCACATCTGTAGGGGGATAAAGGTCAGGAACCGTCTGCCTCTTCTGAAGCATGAGAAAGTCATAATTACTGGCCTGACAACTGCTCGTCAGAAGCCATGATTGCAGGTTTGTATAGGACCACGTCAAGAGCAGCAGACAAGTGAGTATGAGGTTAAACTGGTATATAAATCAGGACCAAAAAATTCAACTTTTTCAGAACCAACCTATTTTTCATGCCCCCGGAAATAAGCTTTTTCCCCCCCTGTGATACCTTTTTGTGAGTTTAGATGTGGAACACAGCTTGTATTTGGATTTAATTATTTTTACCTCATGTGGTAATAGAAATGCTTCTGCTGTTGCCATTTTTTTTAGAAAACCACAGTGATCCAGTTCAAAGGTGTATGAATTGCACTGCATTTTTATGCTGTGGTTGTGGGTGTTCAAGTTGTACAGATAAATGCGTATTACTCAGCCAGCGAAAGACTAATCCCAAGAACCGCAGATAAAGGTAATTCCAAGTTTAATTTAAAAAATAGCAGAGAAGCCTGGGAGTTTCCACTGTGGGTGATGATGCAACCTTTGTTGTTTTAAAATCACCCTTAAAATCTCATCCTACACTCCTAAGGAGTGTTCAGTATTCAGTGTTCAGTATTTAAGGACTTTTTGTCAATACTATTCTGGAATTGTTAAAAACCAATCTTGCAAAACCAGGCAGCTTAAAGGAACTTTCCAGCCAGCACAAATCCAGTTTAATGTATATAACAAACCTAACCACATCATACAGTTCGGACTTGTTTTCCTAAGGCTCGTGTTTATGACGTTTTACTCTACTCAGGTAATAAATCATCACAGCTGAAGCCTTGGTACAGTATTTTTTTAGATCTAAAAAAAAACACAGAGGCACAAAGTGTTTTTACAACTGTCGTAGAACAGAGGCTGACATGAGACACAAAGGAAATGGCCATTTTTGTGAACATTCCGGAAGGGGAATGCGGAGAGTCATACATCAAGATTATTGTGCTTTACATTTCGTGTGACAGATGTGTGAGGCAGACGCACCATTTCTTGTAGAAGGACAAAACTTGATATTTAAAAAGACTCCCACTGAAAAATAACTGTAGATAAAAAGCAGGATAAGAAAACCTATCAAATTAACTCTGCAAATGTATTTAAAAAGCTCTGGGACAATTTGGATTGAGGTTAACCTTAAGCAGTCAAACAAAACCAACTACTGAATACTCCCTTAAAAATAAATTTAGATTTAACTCAAAACTAATAATTTGTGTTTTTTTAAAGGACACATACTAATTAAAGTACAGTATGTTCATGTTGGATATTGATTAAACATGGTGACATTTTTAATTAAGTGACCCTTATACAGTACACTGAACTTTGACTGGTACATAAGCACTAAACCAACTCATTAGTGATGGGAGTTGACTTGGCACGGGTGATGAGGTGATTAAACCTTTTGAATGTGAAGCCTGGTGAAAAAAAGATAATGGAAGCAATATTGTGCACTTATCAAGAAAGAAATGCTTTCATGCCTTAGTGCATTAGTGCATTCTTAGTGCATTCTTTTGTTTATCTGTGGTGTTTACAGCAGGACCTAACCTGATGAGGATAGCTAAACAATGGCCACAGTCTGGGAAACCAACAAGCACAACACTCTTCCATGTCTACGAAATCATTAAAGAGTGATGGTTTGGGCAGGAGTGTCTTAATTAACACAGAATTTCACTTGCAGTGATTGATTGCAACCTGAGGGCTTATCACAATACTGCTCAGTTCCTAGGACCTCTCTTCTAGTCCTGTGTGTGCGTTGATCCCAAGTTGATAGCACTTCAGCAAGACAAGGCACGTCTTTATGCAACAGCATTCTTGCAAGGTGAGAATGGGACAGTCCTGCTGGGGACATCCAACTTGCCAGACTTCAGACAAATTATTTAATGATAATGTTTCTTTATTAGCCCTATACAATTTCTTGCATTAGGAATGTGTCTTTTCGCATACCCCAGCTTTTCTCCATGGAGACACAGACAGAGACAGGGAGAGAAGCTTGGGGGCAGAGCGCAGGGTCTGCCATTGTACGGCGCCCCTGGAGCAGTTATGGTTAAGGGCCTTGCTCAGGGGCCCAACGGAGTAGGATTCCTCTGCCGGCTGCGGGATTTGAACCGGCAACCTTCCAGTCACAGGCGCAGATCCTTAGCCACAGAGCCACCGCTCCACCCGTTTGCAGCCCAAGCTATGTAGAATGATGCATTGCAGCAATGCACCAAGGGATAACAGACCAGTGAACAGGGACACACTCACCCAGACTCCACGAGAGGCATGAGACAGAATCCCACAAGGCAGAAGCTGCATCCTGGTGCAAATAAAACACCATGCAGGTACATACATAGTAGAAATCTTGTATTCCTACCAATAGTGGCCACACATGCTACTAGCCTGTGACTTTTATTGTAGATACTTTGTCAGTAGACTGAAAAAGTCTTATCAACATAATCAATTTCCTCTTTTGTGTGTGTTCAATAATTGTCACTGCACCTGCTACAAAAGGATTGTTATTTGCATAATAATAACCGTGAATCTGTTGCAACTCTACAGTATGTGATGATTTTCTTTTGATGCGCAGTGTACTTCCAACAGGTAGGATAAATGTCATTAGAGGTCTTGATACCAGACACAAGGAACAGGAATCAATCTCATTAAATGCATTCCACTAAAGCACAAAAAAATCTTCCTAGAGTGTTCATACACATTGGCAAAATAAAATGGATACAAGTGCTAGAACCATGTTTTTCTCCTTGTGGAGTAATAGAGAAAAGGATAACCATGAAAGTTTATAAAACATTTTAGGAAAAGAACCACTCCCAAAATCTTTAGGGGGACCGCATGCGTTGGTGATCACCAGGATAAATTGTGACAAGATGGGATTGTATACATGCCCATAAACAGAATAAAGCATTATACATTTGTGGAAATGAAAATTGGTGCTTAATGCCTGTGTGCTATAAACATGTAACACTGATCAGAGGTCTGTTATAAAACCTGGCCAGAAAGGATGCTTTTAAACAAACTATTAACACTGCACAGCTATTTACACAATCTAATCATCAGTAGGAATAGTTAACAGCTGACCTACATCACATTTTTCTTGTACACAGGCTTGAATGATCAATTCTCACTTCAGATAAGGCATATAGGTGAATTACAAATTAATCTCTTTCAATTTCAAGGCAGTTATAAAATACCTATTTGTCACAAAGCACCCTATTTTCACAAAACGTCCATTTTTTTTCAAGAGGGTTTCACAGATTTGACATTTTTATACTTCGTTCATTTTTTAGTTCCAACTAAATCACCAATTGGCTTATTGTCATAGTAGCTCCATGTCTCCCCACTACTGTGCATACAGATTACAAACCCAAAGAAACCCTCATTGTAAATGAATACCGTACGTGGTGTAGGAACCAGTTGAGATAGCTCACTCACTTGTGACCAATCTCGTGTGCTATGGTGAAAGCTGAACCCAGCCCAATATCTTCATTAATGCTGCAGCTTCTCTCGGGCTCACACATTCCAGCAACAGAGGCTAAACCTGAGTAAACAAGAGAAAGACACAAAGGGTCAGGCCAAGGTGTTTCAGTCTGAAGAGCCCAAGTTATAATATGGATTCTTCTTATAGCCCCATGCACAGGAAGAGGAGCTGGCGAAAGGTTAACTTTCTAAGTCATTTGCAAATTCACTGGGGAGATTTCGCTTTGCCGGCTAGACATTAATATTTTGTGAAGTACAGTTGTTGCTGGAAAATGTCTAGACTAGGGGTTAGATTTATAAATTTCACTTGTGGTAACTTGGGACCACCTAGTAATGTGAGCCAGAGCTGGGAAATAAAGAGAACATTTTATTTCTCTTTCACTTTTTCACCAGTCTTGGAACTACATGGAGAAAATGCTTCATTGCTTGTGTGTTTAGGTCCAATTTTCAAAAGACATAATTTTAAGAAATAGTTCAAAATGACACAAAGGTGTTGAGACCTACACCAGAGCCGGCCAGCTGAAAAGGGATGGATGGTACACTTGGGAGCTCCCAAGTGATTCAAGAGGTAAAGGTGCTCGGTACGAGTACAGGTGAATCTTTCTGAAGTAGATGCGGATCAAAATTCAAGCTCATCACGTCACCGGCCAGGAATCCCAGTGCAGTGTTCCACTACTTTCCCAGCAGTAGCTGGGGGGTTGGGGGCGATGGTTGAGTGAGCCAGCCAGAGCTTTCTAGGCTCTCAGCAAAACACCATCCCCCGCACTGCAATCCTTCGCAGTGATGAATTGCAATCTGACTGCATGTCCCGACACCCACCAAGTCCTTGGACCACACTTGGGGTCCTGTCGGTGCCCTGAACCTGATGTCACACCCTTCCAGCTTGACGAGACATGTCCTCATGCCCGTTGCAGTCTTGCCAGATGAGAATGTGAAAGTCTTGCTCTGGGCACCCTACTCGGCAGACTTAAAATTAAATATTTGCAGCACAGGCTGGATTGATACATTGCACCAAGAGACCAGTGAATAGGGACATTCTCACCCAGGCTGTATGAGAGGAATGAGACAAAACCCCACAGGACAGAACCTGTAACCTGGTGCCCGGTGGTGACTTCTCACAGCAAAGTATTAATCCTACAATTTCACAAATGTACCCAAGCTTGTGATGACGTCAGTGAGCAACAGACTATTGATCTAATCATCACTGAACCATCTACAGTATAAATTGCTGTAGAGCTTGCAGTGTTGAAAAATGAATGGCACAATGAGAGGTTGGGTCAGAGGTTGGGTCAGAGTGTGCGTACAGGGGCCATTTTTGTGAGCTAATGCAATGACACAATTGGGCCAGTGTACAACAGGGTATTTCTGTTTTTTGTTAATTAGAATAGAAACAGCAAAACCTTAGAAAAATTACAGCAGACAACCCCTGTAGATTGAATTGATACTTCATGAGTACATCAGTAAAAGCCTATCAATTCAATATTCATCTTGCAGTGATGTGGCATTTTCTGTCTCGGCCCCTTCACCACGCTTACACTGTTTTTCTTAAATTGTTATTCTTATAATGGTCTTATAGTAATTTTGCTTATGATGATTTTTCAACAAAATTAGAGCTGTTGAACGTTACACTGATCTTCAAGTACCTTTCGCTTGAATTTTAACTTGTGGTATACACTATGTATAAAAATGGTTTTTGTACAATTCTTGGTCACTGAGGAAAGTATTGTTGCTCACAAGGACACAGGAAAGGAAGCTAACAGCCCATGCTGTTCTTTTGATGCCAGGTTCCTACTAATTCATACACCTTAAGCTACTGCTCGACAGTTACTTCAAAATCCTAATTTCATCATAATTCCAAACATCCATAATTCAGTGTAAAGGAGCAATGAAAACTAAAACTTTTTTTAGAAGGAAAAGCATCTTCCATCTTCTTTTTCCAGACATCAGACTTGTACCAAAGCTACCCCATTCACAAAATTTCCACACAGTGGGAGGCGCTGGAACTGACAAACCACAAACACTTCTTGAAACCCACAGGAATAATGGTGTCCAAACACTTGGTTAACTTGTTTAGAAAAAAAGAAGCACCCAACTATTTATAGAACCCACATATTTATTGAAAAAGTACAGAAAGTTAATTTGAGGAAATACACACCCTCAAAACTTGCACATATCCTTCCAGGAAAGCTTACATGTTGGAATGTTACTCTTCATGCGAGATAGTGTCGTCTTCGATTTCTACAGGGTATTTGGAAAAAGAGGATTGCTATATAATTTGAAAAAATAACATTTAGTAAGCTTTGGTTCTTAATGACAATAAATACAATCTCTAACAAAAGTAAGTCTGTACCTCACTCTCTGTACTCTGTTACAAGCGGTTAGATTGTAGATTTTGGTGGACTGGAAATTTTCCAAACACTTAAGCGGTAGAAAAAAACTAGCACAACGTCTTGTAGTAGTGACAAATAATTTCATAAATTAACCATTAACAGGCCTACTTTACTTCATGGGCTGACCACCCACTGGACAGCAAATTTGTAACTGGAGAGTACATGGGATTTTGCTCAGGAAAATCAGGTCCTTAGCCAATGTTTTAAACTGTTATAGCTCAACCACAATCGTATTCACTGAAACTTCTAAAATAAAAAAGTGACCAAACAGAATAAATGTGCTAATTAAAAGTTTTTTTTCCTAAAATCCTTCATTTGCAGCTATTGAAAAATGATCTTATGACAAGACTGTCCCAATCAACCTCCATATGGGGTTTGTCACAAACCCGCCACTGACTTTTTTCATTTTCAACTAACTTTTAGGTTCCACAAGGTGCAAGTCACTCAGTATCCACCACCGTGCAAAGCTGCCACATTTTGTGGTCACTGGAAACTTCCAGGGCACTTCCAAGCAGGACATTGTATTGAGAATCTTCACAATCTGATCTAAATTGATCAAGCTGAAGAGGTCTGATAGTATGGAAATTAGGTTTTGTAGCTGGACAAGACGAAAATCAAACTTTTTTTGTTGAAGGTGAAGTGTTACATCACCCATCCAAGACCATTCCAACTGTCACTTCACTTGTGTTTCTCTTCACTAGAGAATGAGAAGCTGGTCAAGACAGAGGGGGGGAAATGGGAGAAAGTACAGGCAAAACTGTAGAGAAAAACCTACTTGAGGCAATCTAAAACTGGCTCAAAAACTCATTTTAGAAGCAAAATGATCCAAAGCACAAAGCCAGAGCCACACTGAAGTTCTACGACAAGAAGAAAGATAATTGCTGGGCCACTCAAACTTGATATAGAGACAGAAAATGTATACAGAGACATACACCCTAACAAACTAAAAGAACTTCACCAGGAATAACAGGCAAAAATGAAACCATCACACTGTGTAAACTGGCAGAGCTATTTTAAAAAATACTGACTGCCAAGCTACTGCCAAAAAGTGCTTCCAAAAAATTTGAATTATTTCACATACTGTATAACAATGTTCGGTTTTGTCCTCATATTTATTAATAACATTCATGTGAAAAAGTCCATATATATTATTTTCTACCAATCAAAACGTCGTAATTGGTGAGGTGTGAATAACACTTTCTGACGCAATGTCTATTGGAGGACCAGTAGGTGGCACTCTTTACTTTGGTCCAGAATTTCCAAACCTATACTCCACAATGCTGACCAGGGACACTGTGCTACAGGAAGTAACTGTGCTGTAGAAACTGCTTGGTCTCATAAGAACCCATGGCATGGTCTGTAAGAGCTTGGCTATAATTGACAGTAGATGGGTCCATTCCCATATTTAAGATACTTAATGCTTTTAATCTTAATAGATCCAAAACAAATCCATGGACTATTTATATACTGTATGTACTGTATGTGAGCAAATCTATAGTCATGTATATTGTACCTATGTGGGAGAAGCTGGCAACTCCAAACCCATTTTTGCCTTGTCCACCAAAACAGATATTAATGTATTCCCAACTCCAGTCTATCAGCAGGCACTGGAATGTGCCCACAAAAAAAGAGGAATGACCAAGTTGTAGTGTGAACTGCTTTCTTTCCATTTCCATACACACACACATGAGAAATATAACATACGTGGTGTGAAAACGTTCAACGAGAAGGGAAGCAAGAAAGAAGACAAAAGGCTCGAGCGCGTGTTATCAGAACCACAAGCAGGGCCACGTCCCACATTGGTTTGCTGAGGGAAAAGTCGTTCACGGGGAAAAACGTCATGCTTCATAATGAGCGTTCAAAGAGGTGCTAATGCAGGAGAAGTGCTCGTCGTAGTTGGAAAGAACGGAAACCGTAACCTTTCAGTGAAATGAGAAAGCCAGGAGGGGGGAGGCATGGCTGAATGACAAGGTGGGGAAGGCAAAAGCCCACAGGCTCCAACGGCTACCATGGATGCGCCCTGTCCTTTCTAGGAATTCAAGTCAAATTGGTAAAAATGAAATGTTACTTCGCTGGCCATCCCGCCCAACAATCAAATGGTGACCCCGGGAGCACAGCAACATTGGATAAGCCAACGTTTTAAAACCTAGCATCCACTGCAGAAACAATAACCTGGATCAAATGGGGGAACTGTAGAATCTTTACGGATAAGGCATATGTGCGGGCTTAAACAGAAAGTGGCTTTTGTTTGCAAGTTTGTCCTTTACACAAGAGGTCATCTGTGTCCCTGGATAACCCTCTGGCCTGGGGCTGAGAGCAGCCGCCACAGACAGAACAAGGATCATGACCCTGTGGGAAAAAAAAAATCAAGGAAGCCAAGCAGATGCCTGTGCAATTAAACCAAACAAGAGAATTTGACGAATGTGGTCAGTCTGTCAAGCCACCCCTGGAGTTGCGATATTACTTTTAAGATATATCGTTCCACCTGGAGTTCCGGTTTCAGACCAATCTTGAGCTGTTAACTGTGCAGACAGATATGCCCTGAAACCCCTATTTATACTCAAAAAGAGGATGATTTTCCATACTGTTTCCATAATGCATTTAGGTGTACTTTGTCACCATTTAAAGTGTTCATTTCTTAACATTGTTGGGCAGATCAACACATCTGATGTGTTCGATGGAGAGGGGATGCTGGAAAATTAGTAGTCATAACAGTCATCTCCCTCCCATAATTACTTGCTGGAATGTCTGAGTAGCAGCAGTTTTTTTTCTCAATGTGCCTGTTATGGAATGAAAAGGCGCTCAGGAACATTATAATGACAATCCGCAATGTAAAGGTTGTGCTTAAATGCATATATTTACTGGAAGACAATTGAAGGAGAAAAAAAACAGGAGCTGAAGATCACTTCAGAGAAAAAAACAAAAATAAATCAGTCAGGAGCACAGTGTAAAAACTCTTTTGCGAGAAGAGGTGAAAACTGGGTAATCAAGTTAGTCAAGTGAGGTTCTCAACTGTTACTGGTTTGCTCTTAATTTATTACATTATTCAATTATTTTTTATTCAATACTTTAGTTAGCCAGATAAGTCAATTGATAACATTTTCTCATTTTACAATGACAAACCGTTAAACCTCTCGTTAATGAGGGAGGGTATTTACTGGAGCAATCAGAGTGACACGTCTGGGTAAAAAAAACAGCATATCATCTTTGGTAACTGTTCAGCAAAGTAACATATTTAACTGGCCAAAACAGCATTTACTGACTAGTGATTTTAAGGCATGTAAACCTTCAGGAAGATTCCAAAATCAGAAGCATACAATAAAAGTAGTCAATATTTTACCAAACATAAATACAACCAAGTCAGTTCCCCGTTGCTTGCTGAATGAACGTTCCACCCTGAAAGTATGCTTTCCTATAATCTTTCCCGAGTTCCGTTTTCTTTTTGAACAACCTAGTTCTTTAGCTAGGCCTATCCTCTACCCAGGCAACCCAAAGATTCTGCACTGCTGCTGCCTCCTGTGCGTCAGGGCACTGTGGACTCAGGGTGTTTCTCAAACCCTTCTGTCAAAGACAGAAAAATATCTCTTAGCTTAAACATCCAAATGATAATGAGCAGAAACTGGGAAATGCTTTTTTTCCCCCACACGTTTAGCGCACTCTATATATAGCCACTGTTTTATAGTTAGTGTTAAGAATGGGAAAATGAGTAGCTTAAGCTTTGAATCCCCATGTCAGTCACTAACTTGATCATGTGCCTTCTGGCCACAGGACAAACCGCTTCACCACATACTAATGTCAGCTGTTCACTTGTCCAGATGCTAAAAATCCTCCGCTGGGAGGGACATGGAGAAGCATGAAGAGATTTCTCTAACATTGTTTTAAAATGGAACACAGACTCCCAGAGGGCCGTGCTGGTCAACTGGCACGCTGCGTGCCGTGTCAGAGCTCTCGTTTCGTCTCTTACCCAGCTTCAGGCCAAAACCGTGCCAAGTGACCAAACTTGGCTTGTGACCTACAGAAAATGTAAGGTTGTCTTCAACATTCCCGTGGGAATGTAACCAACCTTTAAAGTATACTCATGAGAAAAAAAAAATGAACCAGGGTTGATTCATCATTACAAAAGCATCTGTGGCTGAGTTTGGCCTCTAAGTAGCACCCAAGGCAGTTGGTTCACAAGGGCTGGAGAAGCTCTGTTGGTCATACTTATCGACCTTCAGAGCTCCTTGCACATGTTTCGCTTTCAAGTATTAAGAGTGCAAGCTTGTAAGGGGTGTCCATATTTGTCCCAGAAAAGCCAACAACAAAATATTAAAAGCACAGGGACTACTCAGCTCGCTTTACTAACGCACCTGAAAAGGCATGAACTCTACACATTTGTTTTAAAAAAAAACACTTGTTCTATAATACAAGATAAAGTTTCACACTCACCAAGGGTCCCACAGGGTTTATTTTTGTAAGTGCAGATGTCATACCTGTGAATGGAGAAAACAAAAGCCTTAGCGCTAATGAAACAGTGCACCTCTTACAGACAGACAGGCTTTTCTCTTCTCCTGCTTGGAGGTCCCCAGCTGGCAGACAATGACAGGTATAATTATGGAAGCCCAGCTGGGGTGGCGGTACTTTCAGCCCTCTGTTTTAAACCGTAACCAGAGGATTTTCAACAGGCTCTACACCTTCAGGCCTAAGGACACCTGCCATCTTTGAGAATAATATCCAAGTTCATGACATGACATTACAAGCGTATCTTTGTAAATGGCTGCTGTACTACGATACTTTGTGAAGGCTGTACAGCATCCTCTGTGAAGGACTGATAGTCTTTCCACATTATATTTTACATAGAAGAGAGATGAAAAGGGCAGGACACTAACATTTAAGGGCTTCTGCTTCTCATGGTTTTCTCACAGGTTCTGCAGCAATTTAGATTTTGATTCTGCTATATAAAAGCGGATTATCTCATTATTCAGTAGTTCAAGACTGCATCATGGTGCATATGGTCATGAGTATAAATGAAGAAAATACAGCATTTTTCTCTCCCCTGCAGTTTTCTAGCACAATTCTGAACTTTAAATGTAAAGCGTTTTTTTAAATCTGATTATTACACTCTTTTGATAAAACTTGCAGGGATGGACAATGAGCGAAACAGAAGACACCTGCCGAACAAAATCAAAAAATCTTGCAGGAGAAGCAGCAGAAGAAGCTTGTCAAGCAGTCACATTAGAAAACATACAGACCAATCTTTGAGGTAAATATATTGGCAACTATAAATTCCACTATAACTATAAATTCATGATTTTAGGAGGAAAAATTATCACTTCAAAAGGGAGAAGAGTTTTACAGAGGTAGTCTTCCTTGGAGGCGATTGCAAGTATTTGTAGTCACTTAGCATTATCAGGTTAGACACTATGTACTTATCATTTGTAGGCCCGAGGAAAGCGATATAGAAACCCACCAATAAAGCTGTCTTAGTTTCAAGTTATGCAATATAAATAGTAGATTTAATAGAACTACTACATTGATACATACACATGCAACTGTACTGCTCTGGCTTCGTCCAGAGAAGGCCAGGACTATTGCCCTGTGTACTCTAACAAGCAATCTCAGTAGTACTGTTGGATTTATAGTCTAAATTACAGAAACAAACAAAATATTAATTTCCAGATTATGTTTAGCTTTGTTGAAAAGGGATTTGAATACATAGCTCATAAATAAAACCAAAGATGGAGCCAAGTACTTTTTAGTCAGTGGTAAACACAGCAAAACCCAGATACAAATGTCAAGCTTACAGGCTAGGAGTTTCCATTCTGTGGACAGGAGAACCCATCTCGGCTCCGAGAGAGAAAAAGATTCATTCCCCACTGGAGAATACACCTCCACGTACCAGAAGTGTCGTAGAACAACAGCAAGCTCTTTCAGAATGGAGAGAAAAACTGACACGACAGCTTGCCAAGACACGATCACGCATCTCTGGAAATCGTTTGCACAGCATGTCACTGCGTCCTGGCTAAATGAAACATCACAAAGATGAAACTGCATTTTGGAAAAAGGCCTTGGTATTTTTTTTACAGTTGTGGACAGAGTACTGACAAAGTAATCTTGTTGAAAGCAAAGACCACTAAAGAAAGAAATGCTGTGGCTTCATCAGTCAGAAATAACTTCTTAAGAAAAACTAAATAAAGTAATGTTATTTTAAAAGGAAGCACTGAACCAAGCTTATTAATGACAGATGGCGTTAAGGGAGTTGCAACACACTCTTTGCTGTAGTATATACAAGACTGCAGCACAGCAACAAGGTGTGCTGCGCATTATCCAATTATTCAATTACTAGCTTGGATAGTCTGTAAATATATAGAGTATTTTGAGCCTCTTTTCAATCTTTCCAATCTATCTAAACTCTTTATCTCTTCATTACTTTGCAAAATGGGTGCTCCATCATAACTGAAAAGGCTGATGGGATGAAAAGGTCTGTGTAATTTCTGGGCTTTAATCTATTCACTTTGTTTTGTGTTAAAAAACACAAAGGTTTCACTGATGACTCTGTCTCCTTTTACCATAGATAATTTCTCAGAAAATGATGAACAAACTATATTTTTTCAAAGAAAGCAATTAAGAGACAAAAACACCCTTGGTTAGAAAGTGACAAGTAAAAATAAAATGCAATCATTAAAATATCCAGAAAATATGAACACTTAACATTAACCTCAGCAGAACAATCATCTTTTGATCATCTCAGTTTTAAAAAAACTACCACTGAGGCAATTCAAGCTTTTTAATTTTCTTGTTTAAAATGTGACGGTTATGCATCTGTGGGCTTTGTGTCACGTGTCCCAACATGAGGAGCAAATTGATTGGCTCGTGTTGTAGCCAGCAGTCTTTTCGCTCTTTTGAGAAAGTTTGTCGCCTGAGACTGATGACTCGGGGTTCTTGGTACACTTGCAGTGTTAGTTAGAATAGGGTCTCTGGTAGCAAAACATCAAAAAGGCTTAGGTTATGATTGTGCATGTGCTTTAAATTCAGGCTAAAAACTCTATTTGCTTTGACGTGCAAAATAAATTCCATCCAGTTTATTCATTTGTTGGCATTAAACTAGAACAACTTAGGTGAAGTATCTCACTCAAGGGAACAGCAGCTTCTCATCAGGGATTTAAAGCTACAACCTTCCAGATACAGGTCCAGACCTCTGATCACTGCCCCATGCTATGGCCCGTTTACCTACAGTAGTTACTGCCAATGTTAGTCTGATCCATATAGCTGAAGTTCATATCCTTACTTCTTGCAAGAAACTAGCTGGAGTACTGTATATCTTTGGACCAACTGCTAAGTTACTAAAAACCAAACAAAGGGCATCCTCTCAGCAGCCTCCTCTTTTCTGCAAACTCTGTTTTTACGTTTTTACGTTTTTTAAAAACCTCAGTAGATTGTAGTAGTGGAGCACATTATTCACAACCTGTAACAAAAGCATTTTTATTTTACAAAAGCAAATTCCCAGCTGAATACAATAATGGATGGAAAACTTATGATAAGGTCATTTAAGGAGTTCATCACAGAAGTTGCAACAAATGCCATTAAACATTAACTTTCACCAATGTGCCATCAAAGAAAAACTGTAAATTATCTGTGTATACAGACACAGTCAAATGTAAAAGATTAACTAGATTGGGACGGAAATGCTTACTAAATATCTGAGTATTTGGTTTAAAAACTAGAATTTAAGTTCAACCTTTTGAACTATGCAAGAAGATCATCACAACAACGAAAAAAGGCCCAATTATGTTTTTCCTGCACTTATGATGATTTATTAATAAAGCAACAGTGAAATTTAAGTGCCACAAAAACCTATTATAACAGTTTTAGAGTTTTTAAAACACATCATCCTTCCTAATGGAAAGGAGTAATCCCATCAGCTAGAAGGTTTTTAATCTATTAAAGATTACAGACAGACCAAATTAAATTTTAGTTGAGTGGCTGTTGTCCAAAACCATGAGGCACAGTCTCAAAACTGTCTCTGCCTAACTTCAATTACAGACCTATTTATTTTGATTAACATTTCATTTTCCCACTGCTTGATTTTTCAAAAGAAGTATTGTTATATCACAAGAAAATCAGCACTAGGCAGATACCTAATCATGATATATGTCTTTGTGCGATACAACGAAGGTACAGTACATGGAGACTTTCTGCAGAGACCATATTGGGTCATGCATGACTTTTATGTACACAAATGCAATGTAGACTCACAATTAGTCTTAAGACAAAACTAAACTCACCTAGTAGAGGAGATATTCACATTGAATATATAGGAAACCGATAAAAAAATAACATAATATTCTTTATCCCTTTATAGCCTTTGAGTGATGCTGGGAGAGGATTCCGGATTTTACAATGGGCATGACTTAAGCATATGAAAAACTACAAGCTGTTCAGTTATATACAAGTGGCAAAAATGTTTAGTATTTCTAAAAGTAAGATTCATTAATAAGTACAAACCAGCATTTTAAACCTGGACTTTAACCAGGCCTGATTTGTAAAGTGAAATATCTACAAAAAGCAAGGAGAACAGTCCAAGTTACAAATAAGAAAGACAAACCATGAAAGATTTCCACAAACCATTTTATAAAAAATAGGTAGGTACAGCAAGCACCCGAACCAGTATTGAAAAACTGGAGTCAAAGCAGGAGACTCTCTTGAGAAAGTGTTACACATCAAATGCACACAATACGCCAAACGTACACAGACGAGCCATGTTGCCAAAGCCGATACCCTGGCTTCTTTCAAATATCTGCTTCCAGACAAGAGGTACTAGCAACCAAACGGGCCAAATGGATTCCTTTCAAGGTCTAAGGCTAGTAATATAACCTAAATCCACATGTAGCATCATTCCAGTGCCACAAAACCTTAAGCAATGCACAACCTTGACTGGCTATACAATGCATTTAATTAGGCTCATCACATGTTTCTCTGTATTATGAAGTAAATCAATAACCTAATTTTTCCATTGCTGAACATCCCCAATCACCTATTTCTCTTGCCATACAGCGATGCCCGGATCTAGTCACTCAAACTACAGAGAACTGAACAGTAGTTTATCATAGACCCAGAACATGATATAGCAAATTCAACAAACCATTCACTTTCATTTCTTCTAGAATGAGTTTCCCCACGATGAATTCCACTGAGCTTCAAGATCTATTTCATTCAAGCAAGTTTTCTTAGTATTATCCTAAGACTTCAGAACTGAAATTCTTAATTTAACCTGAAGCCTGTGGTCTTATGTTAATGTCTAATTTCATTTTACTGTAATCAATTAAATTAAACCTATGTATTTTATGCATATGCATTATGTGTTCTCATAAACCTCAGATAATTATTCTTTTGTTGATGGCTTCTGTTTAAGATTCTAGAGCACTGAGAAACATGGTAATTGTAAAACAATGTTTGCTGCAATTATGATTATAATTTTCAATTTGGATTTTTC